GCTGGAAATCGGAGCTCAGGGTGCCAGCACTGTCGCGCAAGCACCCTTTCCTGAGTCCCAGGCGGCTTCCCGTGTGCTCCTGCGGTGGAAAGGGGCTGGGAGCTCTCCAAAGGCTTTTATAAGGGCGCTTATAGGGGCACCTGGGGGGCTCAGTCAGTTCAGCGTCCGACTTCAGCTCAGGTCATGATCCCATGGTTCGTGAGTTCGAGCCCTGCGTCGGGCTCTGTGCTGACAGCTCAGAGCCTGGAGCCTGCTTCAGAGTCTGTCTCCTTCTCTCTCTCTGCCCCTCCCCTGCTCGTGCTGTCTCTCTCTCTCTCTCTCTCTCAAAAAAAGTAAATAAATATTTAAAAATTTAAAAAAGAACAAAGGACACTATACCACTCATGAGGCTCCCCCTATTCCTAACCTAATCGCCTCCAAAGGCCCCCACCTCCTGATACCATGGTCACTTTGGGGGTAGATGACAATGTAGGAATTTGGGAGGCAGGGGACACATTCAGACTATAGCAATCCTGGATTTCACAGCCTGCATGGAAAGTTTCCTCTCCAGACTCCTATAGGCCACTGCAGCCGGGGAAGGGGCCACACGGGGTGGGCTGGGCCGGGCAAGGGCTTCCTCTGGGCCCCCCGGATTACTCCACTGCACACAGTCTGAACTGGGCCCCCCCTCCTGCTCGGAAGCCGCTGTTACTAAGTCCTTATTCATTGTTATGCACTCAAGGAGCGTCTGATCCGTGCGTACTCCTTTCCTTCGGGGATTAATTTCCTTGACAGGCTCTGCCTCCCCGCCCGTATGTTCTGGAAACGTTGGCAGTGACAGTGAGACCCTACAGCTCTCTGTCTCTCTACCCCGAGTGTCCTATTTTTGTCCTATTTTGGACTATCTTCCCGGCTGTGTTTTCGCTGCCACCGTCAGAATCCTTGGAGCTTGGTGGTGACGGGAGGGGAGCTTTAAGTGTCGTTGGCGAGAAGAGGCTCTTCTGCTTAGAGCTCTGTTTGGGAGACGGCTCCTCATTCCCACCTCCCCCCTCCCCTTGCAAAGAAATAGGGTGCCCTGACGGTTCCAGAGTAACCAGTTAAAAATCTCTGACAGTTCCCGCCCCATCTCCCGACAGTAGCAGCCGAGAGGCTTGACAGTTGGAATAATTCATGTGCAAGCACACGGATGCTTCTCGGGCAGAGGCCAGATGTGGCCCAACCGTGGAGGCTGGGTCGAGGCTGGGGTCCTAATGGTGCCGTTTGCTCACTTCCCAACCGGGGTGCAGTTAGACGATTCCTTCCAACTCCTGATGCTGACGTTGAGGACGCCCATGCAAGCGTTGGCCTTGAGTCCTCCGGGTTCTCTGATGCTCCTCTGGAGGTGCTCAGGGGCCTGCCGACGAGATGGAGGAAAGCACCAAGCTTCTTTCCGCCCCACGCTCCTCGGAGAGCCTGTCCCCTTGGCTGGGACACCTCCGTAGCAGACAGCTATTATTATCCTGACTTGTTATGCCGAAGCTTCATCCTCCCGGAGAACTGCCACAATGTGGAGGAGAAAAAACACTCCCCACATCTTGGCAGAGCGCAAGGCCTTTCTACCCGTTAGCTCCTCGGGCCGTGGCTCAGAGCCACCGCGGATGCTTCCCTCTCTCCCACGGCCCGCATCCCACGCATCAGAAAATCCCGTCGGCCCTACTTCACGTCTTCCAGGGCCCCACCGCTATCCCTCTGCGTCCCTATGGCTGCCACCCTGGCTGGGCCACCACCCCCCCCGGCTGGTCTTCCTGCCCCGACCCTGCCCCTGGCAGCCCGCTCTTACCAGCCAGAGAAAGCTTCCCAGTGCCCCAAACCCTGCAGAGCCCCCCACCCTTTCCACAGAGGGACAAAGGGACTCTAGGCCCCGGGCGTGTGGCCTGAGTGACTCCCACCCTCTGCTCATCGCTGTCGGCCACACTGGCTGCCTTGCCAATGTGGCCCCAAACCCCAGGTTTGCTTCTGCCATAGGACCTTTGTACTGGCTATGCCTTTGCCTTTTTCTACAAAGACTTGTGTGGCCGACTCCTTACTGCCTTAAAGTTTGTCCTTGAGCCTCAGGCAGCATTGCACAGGGGATGAGAACACAGACTGGAGCCCGGCTGCCTGGGCTCAAGTCTCTTTTCTGCCACTTACTAGCCATCTGACACTGTAAATGTTACTTCGCCTCTCTGTACCTCAGTTCTCTCATCTGCAAAATGGGGATAATACGGGCATTTGCTCACAGGGTTATATTAAGCATTAAATGACTTCATATTTGTAGAGTACTTAGAGCCTGACATGGAGAATGTGTGAAATAAGAGATTATTGAATTAGGGGCATCTGGGTGGCTCAGTCTGTTGAGCAGAGTCTAACTCTTGATTTGGGCTCAGGTCATCATCTCAAGATTTGTGAGATAGAGCCCTGCGTCAACTCCATGCTAAGCATGGAGCCTGCTTGGGATTCTCTGTCTCCCTTTTTCTATGCCCCTCCCCAACTTGTGTGCACGTTTTCTCTCAAAATAAACTTAAAAAAGAGAGATTAAACTAGAGTAAATCAAGTGAGGCAGACACAGAGCACAGTATCGAAGCATGGGGTCGGCCCCTGGGCTCCACGCCCCCCCCCCCATCTCCCTCCTTCGCTGCGTTTTTGCTTTTATTATTCCTTGGACGTATCGCTTCTGATGTGCTACAGGATTTACTTATTTCTGAGGTGTTGTGTTTTTCTAGTTTATTTATGTATTTTGAGAAAGAGAGCGCACGTGTGCACAAGCAGGGGAGGGAGAGAAAGGAAGGGAGAGAGAGAATTCCAAGCAAATTCCTTACTGTGCATGCAAAGCCCTATATGGGGCTCGATCTCATGAACTGTGAGATCATGACCTGAGCCGAAATCAAGAGTCAGACGTACTGACTGAGCCACCTGGGCGCCCTTCTGAGGTGTTTTACTCCATGCCTCCCCAGGCAGAATTGCTAGAACACCAGCTCTCAGGGGGCAGGGATATTTGTCCTTCTCCGTGGCACACAGTGTCTGGCCCACAGTGGGTATTCAGCTGGTATCTTTCGCCCCACAGCATCACTGTTTTTCTTACCTTTTTAAAGAAAAAGCAGGCTTTTCTGATTCTATAAGTAAAATCCATAGGAAAGCTCCCACTGTGGGAAGCCAGGCATGGTGGAGACACCAAATGGAATGAAGGGCAAGTAAGTAGCTGACATTCTGGGTCTTGGGGTGGGTTCCTCCAAATGCTGGCCCTGAGATAAGGTGTACAGACCCGCTCTGGCTGCTGTAACCACCACTACAACCTCAGTGACTCAACACGACACAGATCTTTTATAGCTTTGGAGATCAGGAGTCCAAAAGTGGGCTAACATCAAGGGGTCCACAGAGCGCTGTGCCCTTCCCCTTCCCCTCCCTAGAAGACTTGGCTCCGGGCTCCTCCCAGCTCCCGGGGGCTTCTGGTGGTCCTTGCTCGTGGCCTCTTCAGGCTTCCGACCTCTGCTTCCTGTATCACATGCTCCTCTGAGTCTGCCTCCCGCTGAGAAGATGCTTGTTCTTACACCGGACCCACCTGCATAACCCAGGCGACCCTCCCCGACCCTGGCTCCTAAATTTAGTCACACCTGCAGGGCGTCTGTTACCATGAAGAGAAAAATATTCACAGGTTTCAGAGGACAGGACCTGGAAGACTTCAGGGAGTCATCATTCGGCCCATCACATACGGATTCAAGTAGAAGTCATTTATGTGGGAGGTAAGCTGGAGAATATATCTCATTTGACTCTAATTATCTACCTGAAGGTCCCTATCTTGAAACACAGTCACAGTGGGGATTAGGGCTTCAGCATATGAATTTGCGGGGTGGGGGTGGGGGGCGGGGAACACAAGTCAGTCCATAACAGGGACTCACCTGGGGGACTCGGTCTAAAAATACAGAGGCCCAGCCTTTGGTCTGCTTGCCTGGGCGCCCAGGCTCCGTCTCACCCCGCAGGGACAGAAGCAATGGGCTAGAACATGCCCCAGCCATCCCCGTGGAGGGTGGGGGTGGTGAGTGTTTCCAAGGTCACTCATTCTCTGGCACTTCGGCCTGTGTCTGCCTTGCTCCCTCAGTCAGAACAAAAGCCCCGGAGTGGATGGTCAGGCGTGTGCAGGGGCCTGGCACACGGAACTGAGAGCCAAGGGGAAGAGGTAAGTTCAGTGCCCTACGTGGACCGTGAATTGCTTGTGTGTTCGGGGAAAAAAGAAAAGCATTTTTCATATGAAAAGCAGCCTGAGGTCCTCACCAAGGATCTGAGTAATAACATGTATATGCATAATTTTATCTCATTACTTTAAGTGCCAAAATTCACATGCACACACACATATCTGTATAGGTTTACATATAATACATGCAGCATCTACGCACATATCTGCACATGTACACCATGTGTATGCATATGTGCACAGACATGTAGATAGCATACGTTTACATTATACATAAAGTTCTGGAGACTCCATGCCAAGGGATTAAGAGTCATTATGACAGGGAGGAACTTTCCTTTCTATATAATTTGAATTTTTTTTGCATAATTAGAATTTATTTCTGCATGGAGGATGTTTTATGTTGTACTCTAAAAATGTTTTGAAATAAAGAAACATTTAAAAGTAGACAGGATAGAGGCGCCTGTGTGGCTCAGTCGGTTAGGCGGCCGACTTCAGCTTGAGTCACATGATCTCGGGGTTCATGAGTTTGAGCCCCGCCTCAGGTTCTGGGTTGACAGCTCGGAGCCTGGAGCCTGCTTCGGATTCTGTGCCTCCCTCTCTCTCCACCCCTCCCCTGCTCGTGCTCTCTTTCTCTCTCTCTTTTTCTCAAAAATAAACATTAAAAAATTTAGAAAGAAAAAGCTAGATGGGATTAGAGCACATTGCCAGGAATGGGGACAGTCCAGACATGTGTAGAAGGAAACTGGAGGTATATTTCTTTCCTGTCTCAACATATATTATGTGACTTATACTCAGTGTGCAATTCCAAGTCCTGTTTATTCTTACTGAATATCGTATTGTGAGCATTTTCCAGGTCATTAAATATTCTTTGCAAATATAGATTTTAAATGGCTGTGTAGTATTCCTTTGTGGATGTGTCATAAATTTATTCAACACCTCCATCAATTCCCCTCCTCACTCTCATCGTCCATTAATACTTTCACTACATGGATGAGAAATGGTGGCTCTCATGGTCCCCAGTCGATGAATGTATATCTAGAACATTTCAGAGAATATCAAAGTTGCTACTTCATTAATATAAAGAGGGCACAGACCAAAGCAAATCAATATCTCCACGACGTGCCCTCGGAGGAGCATAAGCCCTGAGCCCAGTGACCTGCGCTGAGCCATCCATATCATCTCGCTTAGGTCTTTATGCATCCTCCCCTGCCCCACTTCCTTTTCCTGGCAGGTGCCCTGAACAGAGCCAACTGACCTATTAGCTCATGAAAAAATAAATTTGGGATAAAAATAAGGTTGGTATATGAGCTTAATAATGTCCCAAAATAGACTTCCCCAGGCATAGCTGTCTGTCCCTTTGTATGTGAAAGCACCGTTTTGCCTACCAAAGAGAGTTTGTGGGTTAGATCGGTAATGTCCAGAGCATTGGAAGGGAAGAGAGAAAGGGGGTGTAGTTCTTCCTTTTAATAGGACCTCTAAGCAAAATACTGCTGCCTCCTGGTGGATGAGGGAGGGAGGGGCCGGAGAGGCCAGGGAGGAGCAGGTCCAGGGACCCCACCCCCAGGACATGGCATTTTACATCCAGTGACTGTGTTTCTGGGCTGCAGGAAGAGAGCTGACCTATTCTGGTTTGGTATCAATAATAAACGTCATTTTAAAATAGCTTCCCCGCCTTTAGAATAAAACCTTTTGCATAGCGTGGAATCTGGAAGAGGTTAATTGAAGGTTGACTCACAATCTTAGTTTTGCAAAAGAAGAGGGTTAAGTGGAGCCCTTTCACAGCAGCTACTTACCTGAAAGCTTCGGTCCCTCCACCAGGTTAAGCTGCTTGAGGAGGCATGAACCCCTGGCCCTGCTCAGTCCGGGGACCTGGGAAATGAGACCCCAGTCCTACGCTCAGGGGGATGGAATCTGCGAATGCATCAGGACGCACCTGGAGAAAATCCAGTCCAGTGTTTTAGAGATTCCTGGTTCGGCATTCTCGCCTTCCCAGTGCAAGGATGATGAGATTATTAGTGGAAGGACCCACTGGACTTTAGAATCTGATTGGGTTTAGCTTCAAAAGTGCAGATAAAGCCAGCCATTGGTCCAGACACCGTGTGCACATCGTTCTAGGGACCCGGTGCACAGAGCTGAAAGAGACGGTTTGCTCATGGGGGTTTCAGTCTAGAAGGACAGCAGACAGGGAAAAAATCATTACGGGGCAGGGGGTGAGCCTGCTGATGCCCGTTCACTCATCCACCCAGCAACGGCTGTCTGCTGTGGACGAAGCGCAGTGCTGTGTTTGGGATTCCACGTGTCAGGACACATACGGCCCTTGTGCTCATGGACCCTACAGTCTAGTGGGCAGCATAGAGTACGAGCAGATCACAACACAGTATACCTTTGATTTGCACTTGTGATAAATGCTATGATGAAAGAGCAAGAAGCCACGGGAAGATGACACAGAACTTGGGCACGTAGATGACTCCCCAAAACAGGTTCCTCTAGGATGCCTGTCTTCTCTCCCCCGTCCGTGCTCACACCTGCCTACTCCGCGCTCCGACCCTTGACCCCTGCCTGCTGCGATGGGTGGAAGCCACTGCACAGCCCTGCGAGCCCTGGGCACATCTGCCCACACCTGAATAAGGTGTGGCACCAGAATAAGCCAACGGTCAGTGTGAGGAAAGGGGCCCTGGGCTGGGAATTGAGGACACTGGTTCTAGATCCGACTCTGTCACAGGACACACCCTGCTCCCTCCTGCTCCAGCGCCTTCGCCCCTGCTCCCAGACCCCTCCCTCGGCTGCTCCCCACCAACATCCTGTACCTTGTCACCGGGAAGCAGGGGCCACAGCCTCGGGGCAGAGGGCCTGGGTTCAGAGCCACCCACTCGCCTCAGTGAGCCTCACATCCCTCTATGCAGTGAGGATAATGTCAGGGCCCAACCCTGGGGAGGCTGTGAGGATTAAGAGACACACACACATGGCACAAGCCACAGACGAGTAAGCTACTCTTCTCATTGTTACTTTGGGGTTAATTTTATGTGTCAGCTTGACTGGGCCTGGGGATGCCCAGACAGCTAGCTAAGCCTTATTTCTGGGTGTGTCTTCGAGGGTGTTTGGAGAAGAAATTAACGTTTGAATTGGTGGGACTGAGGCAGACGGCCCTCCCCAGGGTGGATGGGCCTCACCTAATCTGTTGAGGGGCCAGGTAGCCCAGAAAGGTGGAGGAAGGGTGAATTTGGTCTCCACCTGACCGTGGGGCTGGGACACCAATCTTCTCCCGCCCTGAGGGTTCCTTGCTGGCAGGGCTTCCCCTCGGACTGGATCCGCACCAGCAGCTCTCTGGTGCGAGGCCTCGATGGGCTCCAGCTGTGGATGGCAGATCATGGAAAGTTCTGTCATCACCCTCCACTATCACGTGAGCCCGTTCCTTACCATAAATCTATTTATCTCCATGTAACATCTATCAGCTATCTACCAATCTATCTATACTATCTATCTATCTATCTATCTATCTATCTATCTATCTATCTATCTATCATCTATCTATCTATCTATCTATCTGTCTGTCTATGTATTTTCTATCTATCTATGTATTTTCTATCTATCTATCTATCTATCTATCTATCTATCTATCTATCTATCATCTCTCTCTCTCCCCCCTCCCTATCTACCTCTGTCTCCTATTGATTCCACTTCTCTGCAGAATTCTAATACACATCCTTTCCCCTCCAAATCAACGTGACTTTGAAGGTAACACAGTGACTCATGGCTTATTAGACGCAGCATTTTCTGGTCACGCCAGGGCCCTCACACTTGAACCTGCAGCAGAATCACCTGTGGAGTTGGCTGAACCCTGATTCCACAATCCAGCCTGTCTGCTTCTGTGGGTCCCGGGCAGGGTGTGGCGATGCTGATGGTCAGGGGACCCCCTGAGGACCACTGGTCTACACCAGTGCTCAGACCTTGTACACACCGGTCAGCGGATGTGCATTTTAGCAGCGACAGTGTGCCCGCCACTGGGTGAGGAGCATTCCCATAGGTCATTCTGTTTTCACCGCCACTTAGCAGAGCTGGCCTCAGCCCTCCCATTTTTTGAAGGCAAGTCATCGGCTCAGACAAGATCCACGACCTGCCCAAGGTAAGTGACAGAATTGAGGTCTCGAACTCTGCCCTCTGGGGGTCAGTTTCAGTGCCCTGCTTTGTCCATTTTGGGTTAGAACCAGGACCGGGAGGAACCCAAAGGGGAGGAAGCAACCACCAGGGAAGGGGAATCTCACAGGCAGATAAAGGTCTAGGGTGCGTGAGGTTTGTTGTGGAGACGGTAGGCACGCCCCCCAATGACAGGGCCAGAGGGGCCCCACCTGCGGAGAGTAGAGGCAGGACAGACCCTCAGCCACAGATCTTCCCTGGTGGCCCTCTAGGGACCCAGGAGGGACCCAGATCTCAGGCCTTGGCAGCTCCCTGGAGTTCAGGAGTGCCCTCCCCCACCGCCCCGGGCCCTGGGACCCCCCAGCTGAGCTGATGGAGGCAGACACTCTCCGCCGGGCCTGCCCTTCCTCCCCATCGTCCACTAACAGGAGAGCGCGCTAATATTAGTGAAGGAAATGGCCAGCCACTAGGGCCTTGACACTGTGCCACAAACCTGACTGCAGAACGCAGATGCCTGCATGGTGCCCCCTTCCCCCCCCCCCCAGCTGCTACTCTGCCAGCCTCTCAGCCCTGAGATGCTACGGGAGCCAGGCCTGCAGGGGGAGGCCGTGGGGTATTGGCAGACCCCAACCTTACCACCATTTTTCAGTCTCCCCTGCAGGGTTGCAAGACTGTCCCCAGCCCTGATCCGGCAGCGCTCCGGAATGCTGATTGGCACTTGTGCTGCATGCACGGTCTTGAGGTCCCCTCTTTCCTCCAGCCCCCTTGCTCGGGCAGGTGGAGCTGGAACCTCACATTGGAAGAAAGGGTTGTCTAGTCTCCTATTGTGGGGGCTTGTGACCCTTACCCCATCCCCCACTCCGCCCCCAGCACAGCCAGGCTGATGGAGCAGAAAGAGGGACGGCAAGGCTCCAAGTCGAAGGGATTTCAATACCCACAGGGCAAGATACCCAGCTGTTACCTGGGGATTTGATGAAAATGCAGATGCTGCTTCCTAAAGCCAGGCGTGGGGCTTGGGTCCAGCCTTTTTAACAAGCTCCCAGGGATGCAGAGAGCCCAGCCTGAGCTTGGGCAGTAAGACTGTAGGGCAGTGATGCCCAGACGTGGCCCAGGCTGCCATCACCTGAGCACTTGAACCACCCTGCTGTCTGGTCCCATCCCCACGGCAACCAGTTTAATTGGTCCCGCCTTGGGCATCAGGTGGTTCTCATACACCGCCCCATCCTCATTTCCAGGCTGCCACGATGGCCGTTAGGACAGGGTCTCTTTTGTGCTGTGAGGAGGGAAGGGATCTGGGGAGAAAGGACTTTTTCCTAGTGAAAAAGCATCGTCGCGTCCCTTGTTAGTCGAGCTTTCTTCCTTGGCAGAGGAGACGGAGAGGAAGAGCAAAACTTTCATTCCACAGAAGGGCATCTGCCAGTCTCCCACTTGGAGACGGGATTGAAATAGCTTTTTCAGATCCTCCAGTTAAGCTGACACGTGTGGCCCCCTCCAACCCTCCCTTTAGCTCCCTCCCCTCTGTAGCAGTTATCTCGATTCTGGCTCCAACAGCAAGGCTCTAGCTCCCTGCCGCCGCCGCCGCCGCCACAGCTGCCTCGCTTCCCAATGGAGAGGAGTTCGGGCCCCAAAAAGAACTCTGGTGGAAAGAACATCAGCAAAAGAGGCGGGGGGGGGGGGGCTGTCGGGCACCCGCACCTGGGCACAGCCACGTCCAAGGGGCATGTGCGGATGCAAGGGGCGGGGGGCTTGAGGCTCACATTGATCTGAAGATGACACAGCTAAGAGTGTCACTTAAAGGTATGGACGGGAATGTCACTTCTGGGCCCAGCACCGCTCCTCAGGCTGGGAATGAGATAATGAATTATTACTCAGGGAAATGAAGCTGCTGATAAATTCAAAAGCAAAACTGAGGGAGGTTAAACTCCATTTTTAAAAGGGAGCTGATGATTTATAAAGTGCCCTCTCTCCTTGCCCCCCGGGGCTCCGCCAGCATCCCTGTCACTCCTTTTTCCCACCTGGCCCTCTGGACGCACAGCCCGCCACCCCGCACTTGCCTGTTTTCTTCTGTGAGCCTCGCCCACCCCAGTGGGGAAACCTAAGACCCAAATTGGGCTGAAATCTGGGGCAATTGGTGTTGAGAGCTCAGTCCCCAAGGAGCGGCCACAAGGAAATCTGTCTTCCTAAGAAGTCCATTCCGACCTTTAAGCCAACAAATTACAAGCAGAAACTGCTCCAGAATAAGCAATCAGGCTCTGCAGCGGGGTGCTGCACAGGGGGTGGCTCCTGCAGGGAGGGACAATCAACTTAGCCTTTCCGTGGCATCCATGCCTTCTGAAAGCTGCTCCTGTTTGGGGAAGCTGGTGGCTTCATTCTAGTGTCCCCTGCAGCCATTCTACCCCCTCTTGAGTGGAGCTCAAAACCCTGTCTCCCTCGGTCTCCACTAGCCTCCTCCCCTGCCTGAAGCCGTCTAGCCCCTGACTGCCTGAGCTTATTGCCCGTTTCCGCGGCGACCGGCCTGTGATGTCACTTAGGGGGGCCTGTGAGCCTTCAGGTGGGTAAGGCGGAGCAGCAGGCGCCCAGGAAGAAGGAAAGAACAAAGCTCTAGTTTCTGTGCCATCATCCCTATATAATGGAAGAGAGGCATGGCAACAGAGGAGGGGTGGACGGAGGCTGCGGCCATTCTGAACCTGGCCTGTTTTAACATCTCTCGAGCTCAGCTAGGGAAAGATGCCCGATCTCCCTGCCCAAACAGCTATGATTGAAAAGCCTCATGAGCCACGGAGGGACTCAGTTTCCCCAGCTGGCTATTTTCTGCAGCCTGCCCCCACCTTATGACATTAAGGGAAGCTGTGTGCCCGTCTCCAGCAACATCAGGCTCCAGGGCTCCCTCCCTGCAGCCTGGTTTTGCCGGAAGCCCCTGTGCCGAGGGGCTTTCAGAGCCGGCCTCAGCGGGGACCACGCCTCCTATTCCAGCCACTAGGGAGGAAGCTCCCCCCAGGCCCCCTAATGCTCTGGTCCGTTTTGTTCCAGCCAGGCACCAAGAAGAAAAGCAGCCTCTGTCTGGAAACAGTCCATCCCACAAGCTTTCCTGGAGCCGGGTCCAGAAAGTCCACATTCACCTGAGTTTTACATAACTTACTCGGCAGCCTGAATTACACAGCCACGTTAGGCTCACTTGGACTTCAGGTGTCTCGATTACCTGAGTATTTTGCAGGTTTATGAGTGCGGGGGAGGGGGACTGGACGCTAGCTCAGAGCAAATGCAAAATATGGGCTTTGGGGGCACTGTGCACCTCTCCACACCTTTGCCTACCACCGGGATGGAGCAGTAGAAAGCGACTGCCACATGACCACTGATCAGGCCACGGAGGAGCCCCGACTCATCCCGGATGCTGGGCCTTGACTTTGTTTCTCTTTTAGGATCTGCCAAAAACCAAAAGTCACCATCTAAAAAAAAAAAAGAAAGAAAAGAAACAACTCCAAAGAAAGGTGGGAGAAGAAAGTGAGAAAAATCTTTATCATTGATTATTTAGACCTCAAGAAAGAGAGGAGAGAGAATTCCCCATAGCCCAGCCAGGGGGTGAAGAGTTAATCCTATAATCTATCCGGCCACAGAGCAAGGCAAGGACGAGAGCTCTCTTCAGGCTGAAGTGTGCCTGCAGAATGTTTGATGCTTGGCAGGTAGAGCCAAGAAGATGAAGACCCTTTGCAAGCATATATAGGTGCCCAGGGTATACGACCCCTGTTCTCAGGACGCAATGGAATTCCAAAGTTCACAAGATAGGGTGCTCCCCTATCTTCTAAGAATGGACCTCCCCCACCACACACATTTTCAGGTTCTTCTGTGTGCCCACTCCCCCTGCCCAGGCACCCTGTGTCCCCCGCTCCCTACTGGGCTCAGCAAAATACCTGCAAATGCCTGGTGACCTTTTCAGAGTTAGACCAATTACAGAGTTAGACTCCAGTGAAACAGCTTAAGAATTGCAAAGTAGCACGTGCAAACGCTTCTAGCTGCTTGAGTGAGAGCCAGAACATCTCTCTATCCCTGGCTGCATATCGGAACCACCTGGAGAATTTTTTAAACTACCGGTGCCCGAGTCCTGCCCCTGGAGAGTATGATTTCATTGCTATTGGAGGCAGTGGCATTTTTTAAGGCTCCCCAGGTGACTTAAACATGCAACAGAGTGTGAGAACCACTGAGTTGGAGGATTTAGGATTTTTGAGTTGTTTAATGGCGATCTTTGGTCCAAAATCGATCAGGTTGGCTACTTCCCTAATGGAATCAAGGCACAGATTCCATTGGCCAGGTGTGCTGCCATCTTGAAACAAAATAATGATGACAAGGTTTCATATGGATATATTTTTGTAAAATTTTAATGTTTTCTTAATTTTGGAGAGAGAGAGAGAGAACAAGCAGGGGAGGAACAGAGAGAGAAGGAGACATAGAATCCGAAGCAGGCTCCAGGCTCTGAGCTGTCAGCACAGAGCCTGACGCGGGGCTTAAACTCACAAACTGCGAGATCATGACCTGAGCCGAAGTCAGACGCTCAACCGACTGAGCCACCCAGGCGCCCCTCATATGGGCATTATCTTAACAGATTCTAATGAGAGTTGGTACAATGTAGAATTTGAACAAAATAAAGTCTTCACTGAACTGTCCTTAGCTGACGGGGGAGGCAGCAGGAGAAAGTAATTAACATTTCTTGATTTCTGTAGTGTGGCGAGAACTGGGCTTGAAAGACTCTACTGATACTTCATTTCTTCTCTCCTACCATGTGCCAGATGGGTATCATCCCCATTTTACAGATGAAGAACCTGAGGCTCAAGATTACACAGCTGTTCTGTGTTGGGAGACAATTTTCCATGGGTCTCTCACATTTCTGTATATCTCGTAAGCAAAGATGCTGTTTGCCTTTGCTCTGATCTTTATAAAGATGTTCGCACAGTGAACCGCTTTGGAAGATATAAGGTCCTCCTCAGGAGCAAAGGGTAGGCATCTTCTAAAAGATTCAGGACCCGGGGTGCCTGGGTGGCTCAGTCAGTTAAGCATCCGACTTCAGTTCAGGTCATGATCTCATGTTTTGTGGGTTCGAACCCCATGTTGGGCTCTGTGCTGACAGCCAGCTCGGAGCCTGTTTCGGATTCTGTGTCTCCCTCTCTCTCTGACCCTCCCCTGTTCACACTGTCTCTCTCTCTCTCTCTCTCTCTCTCTCTCTCTCAGAAATAAAACATTAAAAAAAAAAAGATTCAGGACCCTAAGCTCAGGGGTCCTGTCTGGGAGCACACCCTATCCGTGTGCACAGGTATGAGCTGACCCTCTTCACTTGCCTTACGGGAGCTGAAGCTTAGAGAGCTGTTGCAAAAACCGGAATCCACTGGCTCCCACCAGCCCTGTCTTTTGTCTCTGACTCATGAGTGTGAAGACAGGCCAGGCTAACTCATCATCTCGTGGTGGATTTAGCACCCTCATCGAAACCCATTTCCCTCTGACATCCGTACACATAGGGGACAGATAAGCAAGAGGTGATATGAAAGCAAAACAAAACCCATACTCTGGATCAATGATTGCGTTTCCTCTAGCTATGAAACAATAACACAAATGAGTTCCCCTTCCTCTATAAGATGAATATACAAATTCGATCTGCATCAAGAGTCAAGTGCAAAACTTGGGCACAAAATTGGATCCTGCTGGCTCCAAAGTCGACTCAGTTTTAAGCTCTGCTAAGCTACATCCTCTCTTCTCTCAAGAGCATTGCCCTTGATCCTACCAAAACAGCCTCCAGGCTTTGATAAGCAAACGTGGATCCTGCTGGTACCCTAGACCTACTCATCCAACTGTTATCAAAAGCCCCTTTTACCTACTTAGTTTCCAAATTGGAGAGACGTGATCCTTCCTCCGGTGTTAACACTGATGGTCTGCATGCCCCTTCCTTTCTCCTTGAGGTCAGAATTTTTAAAACACAAATTATAATCACGCTGCATCTCGTTCTTGGCCCTTTTCTTACCTGATTCTTTATTTAAACCAGCCAAGGTGCTAGCTAAGCTTAATTTTGAAAGGATTGCTTCCTCTCACTACTAATTACCTTCTCTTCTAGAGAATGAGCATTTAATATGCAGTGATGATTTCTAGTAGCCGGTGCTGTACAGTTTTCAGCTGTTAATTATTATTATTAAAATGATTAAAAAAAAAAAAAACGAAGTACCGTGTATGTGCCAGGAACTTCTAAAGTGTTTTATAAAGTATCTGAAGTCTACTCAAAAACCCTAAACATGAAGTATTTTCACTGGGAGAAGCTAATGTGTCAAGGAAGTTAAATGTCGTCTACGCGATATAGCAAGTAACAGAGTTGGAATCTGGAACTATGTCTGTCCAGCCTCAAAGCGAAACTTTTCCTTCTACACCCAGCTTTTTTTTTTTTTTAACAGCTTTATTGAGATGTACTTCACGTAGCATACAATTCATCCATGTACAATTCACTGATTCCAGTATATTCTCAGGTATGTGCAACCTTCGCCACAATTAATCTGGAAACTTCTTCACCACTTTCGAAGGACACCCCGTGTGCTTTAGTAATACTCTCTTCCCCCTCTCCTCCCCTCCAAGCCCTAAGCAGCTGCCTTCTAGCAAAGTCTCTCTCTAAAGAAGCCAAGCCCTTTCTTCCTTCTACATTAAATATTGGAGTATGTTTACATGCATTTATAAATTGGTTGCCTCTTTGGTTATTGAGAAGTTGAAAGTTGTGCCCTCTACCCCCCCCCAAAAAAAAACCTGTGCCTTCGTTCTGGCATTCTCTGGGGTTGGTTATTCTTTCCTCCTCCTGCCCAGAGGCCACAAAGAAGTACACTGGGAAGATCATCAGGAGCCCCAGGGAGGATTTGTTACTCCATTTACTAGCTGGTCCCAGGAGGTAGGTGTTGGGTCTGCGTTGACAGTAAAACAGACGGGGATCCCTGAAAGCTTCTTGCAGCCTGGACTTAAGCCTCAGATCTCATGAGCATAGAACAGCCCTTCTCATCTCCTTTTAGATGCAATTTATCTCCTTTGAGAACATTAGTCCTTCCAGTGAGGGCTGGCTCCTCATGGATGTTGACCTTGCCCAAGGAAGGCTTCCCAGCATTGATCTAGGGTCAGCCCGACTTCACAAGGAGTTTGGTATGCATATGTGCTGATTTGGGTTCCCCTGAAGAATTCAAGTGCTTGGAGTTGAGTTGGGAAGTACAAACACCACTGAGGGTGGGGGACAGGGCATGGGGAAGGGGCACAAGGGAGGGAAGGTGACCATCAAGTGCTGTGTTATTAAGCCAGCGACCCCGTGGAAGGCTGGCTCTTACTCTCCCTGGTAAACTCTAGGGGACACTAGGAAGCACACACCTCAGTCACCCTGCCTAGGGGACAAGGTCATGGGGTGTTGAAACACCACCTCCCAGAAGTCCTTGGTTGAGGGCTGC